TCTTTTATTTTGAGAAGTCATATTGAAGAAGAAAAAGGATCCAGCCCCATCCACCATGGAGTCAAAGAATAGGAAGCAAAATCCTGCACCGAGGCTAACGAAACCTATATGCAATCCGATGCCCCCAAAATCAGCTTTCCTAAAAGCTTATCTCCAAACTACTGACCCGAAGGACAAGTGACCAGCCAATTTACATTAGTAGGGACAGCTAAGTGCCTCCTATTTGTCTGAAGCAGAGGCCAAAGCAATGTGTTGGAGACAATACGTTACCCCTCAAGCACCAGGATCCTCCTTTCCAGCCTTACTGGTCACAATGCACGGCAAAAGCATAGGTGTTTTTCTCTCCATGAAACACTTATTACTAGAAACAAAGGGATGTTACAGTACATCACTTTGAGCCCCAACTATCGAAAAGGTGGTGGTAAAAAATTTAATGGCACACAACCTGGACAGGTTATTAGCACCCAACACATGTCAATTAAACACAAGTTACATCCAAAACAATACATTAATTACACACAATCACAATTTTAAAACAACAGCAGACTAATAAAATTAATAGAGGCAATAAAATGATGAAAGTTGAGATGAAGTAACTCATAATATGACTCATAATAAGACAATAATATGAGAGGTGAAGCTAGTGTAAAATTACAAAATATGTGACATTAAAATACAAAGAAATAATTTCAAATTAAATGATGAAACCCAGTTTCCTTCAAATACTGAAAAGGGTTAGCACTGGCCTCATTCCCAATTACTCGTTCAAGAGGCAAGCCAGAGTCACTGAAACACTTTAATACAATTTGGTTTAAATGCTGACATTTAATTAAAAAGATGCACTATCATAGGATTATCACAATGGGGACAAACAGATACACTCTCAGCCTTTAGGTAACTATAAGTGACTCGAGAGTGACCAATATGAAGATGAGTTAAAACAACTTCCTCCCTTCTGTTTCTGACTGGTTCCCAGTACTCTATTACAGGCCTTCGAAAAGGAAAACCTTAATTTATATTTCATGTTATGTTTAAGTCCTGAGAACACTGGAAACTGAACTGTTAGAATGAGCTATGCACCCATTAAGTTTCAGGTTTTGATAAAGAGGCTCGTTTATGGAAGTTCCTAATGGAGTCGTTATTGATCTCCTCGGGGTTCATGCAATTTTAAAGGAGGTCAGTAATGATCAAGGGGTCTACTGGGGATTGATAATCAAATATGCAATGATGACAGATAGCCAACCTGAAGACTCCATTAATTAAAAAAGCATTATTAATAAAATCAATAATTGTTTATTGATATAAAGCTATGTCATGTAAAATAAACATGAGGGGGAAAATACAGTAATTTATTTAATACATTTTTTTTATTTTTATATAGCAAGTGCAATATAAAAAGGTATAATGTTAAGAATACAAGAACACACTACAGTACAACGTCTGAAATCTGGACGTCCATTATCCGGAATGATCTAAAATCCAGAGCTCAAAACCACCAAAACCGTTTTTCTCGTAGGCCTCCGCACATAATAAAACATCTGGAGAGTGCCAATTTTTAATTTCACTTTGACACTAAATAAAATACCTTGTTATTGAAGAAACAATCATTTTAGCATAAATTTGTATGATCAGTAATTTGGCTCCTTTGCTGCATCTCAGATCAAAACATTCCACACAGATACATCGTTGATCTGATGCCAACCTGGTGAATTATTATTTATTATACTTTCCTTTCATCATCGCATGTTTATCAACACATGACAGCTTGAGTAATGACTCATATGGCGATCCCTAAACAGTTTTTTTGTTAGTAATTGAATAATAAAGGACTATGGAGTAACCTTTTTAACGCTTGGCAATGATTACAGAAGGAAAAATTTACCAAAAATTTCTTTCCATATGCTCAAATTAGATTTTGTTGATGATACTTAGACCCAAAAGATTACATTTAGAGATATTTGAATTAAGAATAGCTGATTTGTTCACATAAACCCAGAACTAGCGCCAGGGCTCGTATGGCCACACCGAGTCGCAGGATTTAGGTTCCACAGAGACTACATCAGGCGGTAAGATATCTAGCGCCAGCCCTCAATAAGGCTTAAGTATATGCGGGAATTTATTTATTGAGAACTCTGATAAGCCTTAAGCACGTGCAAGAAATAGACATAAGTATAATAAATAACTAATAGAATTCAGGCTTAATTGTTCGCAATAGAAGGAAGATAAAATTTAACGGAACAACTTGTCGTTAGTCGCCAAGCTCATGATACATAGCCAAATATGTACAGTGGAGATAGTTAAATTTGATGATGACAGCTGTTAACTTTAAAGGTTTTTGGATATTTACAAAGGTGAAATTTTCTAATTAACGGATTTTGTAAATAAATGTGGAAAAGGGGGTAATAAATGAAGATGATATAAAAGAAGTTTTTCATTGTGATGGCAATGCTTCTCAATCATCAATTAATTAACGAATGGCGAAATTTGTAGTATGGTTCTAGATCCATAAATACCTCTACCGTTAGTGAAGAAAGTTACAGAGAAGTTACTGAAACGAGAAATTTCGATTACAATTAGTCGGGAATTCGAAACGGAGTTACAAGACTTCAACAATGTAACTAAACAAGAGATATGTCTGTCTATAGAACTTAAGAGAAATATTAGCACAAAAAAAAAGCACTTACATTGAAAGAATGTTTAATACGTAAACAATAAATATTAAGCTTTTTTTTTTTTTTTTTTTTTGTTGGTTGTTGTTGTTGTTGTTGAAATTTTGATACCTTTTAGATTGCAAATACTTCATTATTTCATAAATCCCGATTTCATATTTTTAATTTTATAATTTCTACATGCCATCTTACTAGATTTAAACTGATGATCTAATATTTGGAAAAATTCCAAATCTACAATCTCCAAAGTTCCGACAAGTCCAGATTTCGGACTCTGTACTGTATTAAAAAAATGCAAAAACTTAAAACTAGAACAGAAAACAAGTTGAATATTTTTTAACAAGTGATTTAAGAATTTAAGCAATTTTATGCCAAATATATATATATATAATGCATCAATATATCAGTTACAGCCATCATATTAATTAAACTCAATCTTTTATGTAAGTGAAATCTGCGTTTTTGTTTCTAAAAACATGTTTATATTTGAAAAGAAGAGGAAAAAAAAAAAAAAAAAAACCTGATATTTATGTAATTGGACATAAATTTTAATAAATCATTCTTTTTTTTAAAACTTTTATTCATAATCTTAGCCTAACTGTTACTCTTAAGGTATTTATGTGCAATGATTTATGCAAGATTATGTTGTTTTCTGTATACTATAGACAAAAATACACTGATCATCAAAATTACAGGATAATGGGGGGATTGTCCAAGTTAATGTGACAACCGATGGCCAATGCCGTAATTATGTTTATTAAATACAACTGAGCATGAAATTGCACTTCCACACATATCGTTGTGCTGGAAATGTCTAAATTCGGTGATCGACAATGTAGTACGCAATGGACTCATGTTGGAATTTCAGTCTGTAGTGTTGTTTAAAGTGCATATGATTTAAGAGTAATCAGTGTTCAGTAGTTACGGCAGGAAGGCATAATTTAAGTGAAGGTTAAAAGTGGTGAATTATTGATAGAATCAAGAGAAGTCAAATACAAATGGAGGTCACACAAGATTTGAATATCCCTTAAAATTCCATATCAAGAGTTTGATGCCACTTTTTAAGCACTAGATCAGTTGACAGACAGCCTGGTCAAAGGCAAACATGAGAAAAAAATGCATCAGAAGACAATTTTCTATTGCTGTCAGCTCGAAGAAACTGTGAAGGAACTACAAGAGATTTGGTTTTAAACCTTCAGACTGCACAAGAACTCAAATTAGTCATTCTACTGCTGCACAATGGCTTAACAAGGTTGGAGAAAACCAATGGTTTGAATCCCACTCACCCCAGCTTCCAGAATAGTCCCATGGAGCCAAGATGACTGGGCCTAACTATTGTTTACTAACCAGTCCAGATAGAGTGATTCTGGACGTGTTTTGACAGTGAGCTGCATATCTTTCATAACTGCTCAGAGACATCTGGACAAGGGACTGGCACCCCAACTAAGAATGTTCAGGGTTGACGGAATTTTTGCTAAAGGATGACAACGCTTGACCTTATCCAGCATATATAGTGTCAGAATACTTGCAAATAGAAGATATCACTCGAATGGATTGGCCAACTTACTCACTCGAACCAAAGTGAACATGTGTGGAATGCCTTAAGGTGCCAAATTCTTCCCTGGATCCTTCAGGAGCTGAAAACTACAGTTTTAGAAGAATGGCATGCAAAACTTGATGTACACTTTGGTAAAGTCTATGAAATCAAAATGTAAGGTATGCCTATCTGTCTGAGGTGACCACAAACCATATTAAAGAAAACATTTTTTCACAAGAGGTGACTTTATTTTTCCCTCATTTTAAAGTTTCCATAAATTTGGTTTTAATTTCAATATTTTGCAATTAATCAACTGCCAGTCATTGTAACTTATGCTATTGTACAAATTTCTATTAATAATTTTTCATTAAGTATCAGTTACGTTTTATTTCTGTCAGTATCCTCCAATTTTGCTGACCAATGTATAAGGGGGCTGATGATGAAAACCAATGATTTGAAGGGGCTCAATCCAATGAAAGGATTGGGAATCGCTAGTTTAAACCTTCTCATGTGTGCAGTTTTTTACTACCACAGAGAGATAAGTCACCTAATGATCTCGGAAGGAACCATAATTTAGTTTAGTACATTGTAGTTTTTTATGAGATGATAGTGAGTCATGCCTTGAAAGAAATACAATGATAGCACGTGACCTACCCAAAGAATTTCACTGTGACGACAAGACTACACAATCATACTTATGACTACCTATTGTTCGTATTTACATAATAAGGCTGTAATAGTAAAAAAAGTACTGAAATTTTCAAAAAAGTTTCAATGAAAAATTTCAATTCTACCTGTATGTGTTTTTACGTGTTTTTTCAGATGATGACTAACTACAAATGACTTTCCACAGCCATCTTCTTCACACCTAGAAAAGATTATTCCAGTTAAAAATTTTATTTCAGTTTTTTAACAAAGTATATTAGTAATAAAATAGAACATAAAATCCAATTACACTGCAATAAATACAAATCAAACTTCACTTTATTAACTGACAAAAAGGTAAATATAGTATTGTAATATTTTATTATTTAACAAATAATTATATTTATTATCCTTGATATTGGAGTGGCAATGCCATACCGTGTAACCGTTCCTGAGCAACATTAGAAAATGTTAAAAATAGTTATTCTGAAGTTTTACCAGTTAGTAGATGTATGAAAAATTTATTAAGAAAGAAACTGTAAAAAGTAAGTTGGAGTGTGAAGCTGTAAAGGATAAATTGCATTTTAAATTAATTATCTTTCTTTGTGAACTGAGAATAAAACTTTTATGTTTTACTAAGAAGCTCATCTGTTATTTCAATAAAAACTGCAAAATACGTTACAGTATCCACACTGATGAGACAAAACGTTTTTCCCATCCTCACATTTTTCAATGAAATCATCTGGATGACATGGAGGGCATGTGATTAAGTGGGAATGGTATTTAACTGCTGCTGCAGAAGGTAAGGAATCATTCTTGTGCTTACTTTTGTGAGTGATGGGAAAGGCTGCTGATCTAAGCGAATTTGATAGAGGGCAGACTGCAATGGCCCAAAAGCTCGGAATGAGCATCTATGAAACTGCACGACTGATATGTTGTTCATAATCTGAATAATAGTATTTATTCAATGGATAATTGATGGTGAAACCAGCAGTACACACCAAGGTGCTAATGTCCATATGTCATTAAAGAAAGAGAACGTCGAAGACTGTCATGCTTGATGTAGCAAAATCCGCATCAGACAATGACTCAGCTGACAGCCGAATACAGTGCAGGTCCAAGGGCAAGTGTTTTGGAACACACAGTTCAGCAGACACTGTTGGATATGAGACTACGTAGCAGACATCCCACTAGTGTATTTCTGTTGACTAAGCATTATTGTCACTATGGCTACAGTGGGCCCAGGAATATTGAGAATGGATCATAACTAAGTGGAAGACAGTTGTCTGGTCAGATGAATCACGATTTCTCAGACTCTCATACATCACATCGATGGTTGTGTCAGGGTATGCCATTTTCCAGGCGAACAGTTGCTCCTCCCTTGTACAGTAGGTCTCACAAAGGCTGGTGGTGGCGGTATTATGTTTTGGAGAACGTTCTCATGGGCAGCTCTGGGATCCTTAGTTGTAGTAAAATAGACAATGAAAGCTGCAAACTATCTGAACATAATTGTGGTTCAGTTGCACCCTTACATGGCATATGTTTTCCCAACTGAAAATGGAATCTGCCAGTAGGACAAAAACCCATGTCACAAGGTTCAAATTCTGTCCGCATGGTTCGAAAAGCACAAGGATGAATTTCAATTTATGTCTGGGACATAACTTGCCAGATCTTAACTCGATAGAGCACATTTGGGATGTCATGGAATGGCAGCTCAGAGCTCAAACACCACCATGTTAGAATATCTTGACTTTGATGACTTCTGCTTAGACATTTCATACAACCTGTCTCCGGTCATCTACCAAGAACTTGGGAGTATCCATGCCAAGGCAAGTTGCAGCTGTTTTGCAGGCCAAAGGTCATGTAATGCATTATTCAGTAGGTGGTCATAATGTTTTGGCTCTTCAGTGTATAAAACAAGAGATATATTAGTATGTGTGCATGGTATAAATATTAAATATAATTTTTTGCTTACAGCATTGCCAGCTTATAGCTTACAGCATTTTACTTATAGCACTAACACTTAATAACTAAATATAATAACTATTACATTTAATAAACAAAGAATAACTAACACTCTATTTATTATAAAAGTCTGTTGAAATTTTTTACAGTAGAATATCAGTTTCTTACATTAAAATAAAGCAGTAATTAAGTTGGCAAATGCTAATTTTTTAATAGGAAATATTTTGTCCTTTGAGAAATCAGATGCATACTTTTCAAATAATGAAGCAACTTTTCACAGAAGAATAGATTCTTACAAAAAAATAACGTTATGAGTTTCTAAGATAATGATATAACACTAAATTAGAGTTTATAAACTAAAAATTCTTGATGAAAAAAGCTGCATAATTTTTAGATCATGCAAAATGGGTTAGCAGCTTTTTTTTTTTTAAAATAACAGAGTAAACCACATAACTTCTAAGAGAATCTGTGTGACAATCACAATGAACAACTTAATAGTTATATTTATTAAAATATAATAATATTAAATATAATATAATACTCGGCATATTGTATTTATTAAAATACAATATGATGAAATTACTTCAACTAGGAAATAGAAAAGCCATACATTACTCCAACTTATTTATACGTAAAAACTTTCACATAAAATATGTTAAGTGAGTTTCGAAAAATGAATAAAATAATTTTATTTTATAATTCAAAGTAAATTTAAAATACTTTTATTTCAAGTTATCATGTTTCCCAATACAACCTATTTTGCACTTGTTACAGTATATATTCCAACTTACCGATATGGTCTTTCTCCAGTATGCGTACGAAAATGTTTACGCAGGTCACTTAATGTAGTAAAATACCTTGCACAGCCTTGCTGTTCACAATTAAATGTATTGCCAGTATGCAGCCTTTTATGAGCTTTTAATCTAGAATAAGAAAAAATAATTAGTTTGAAAACAATAAACACCTAATTTGGAGAAAATAAGCAAGATAAAATTTTCAAATACTGAAGAATTATCTTCAAAAACTATGTGCTCTCCCCCTAAATTACGCACTATAACTCTGTAAGTTATAACTTAATGAGCCAAATTCACAAAATTAATAAAGAGTTTTTTAATAGGCTGAAATATATGGCCATTTGCTCCAGTATATTATGAACAGGCAGTAGCTTTCTTTGAATTTCCTTCACTGCCTCAAATCTTTACCCCTTGAGCTTTATTTTCAGTTTTTGAAATGGAAGTTCATATACATAAAAAGGACGTGGTACTAAAACCAGGCCCAGAAACTGACAAAATATGAGAGTAATAAGGGATAGTGTATTGTCATAACTGTTCTGTCATGGATTAAGCCATTTTTTTTCCCTCCTACTCTCTCATAGACATCTCAGACATAGATTGCTACTTTAAATACATAAAGACATAGATTGCTACTTTAAATGTTTCATCAAGAGGAGCAAACGCTTTAAGAACAATTCCTCTGCCATCAAAAAACAAATCAATATTGACTTGATTTCACTTTTCACTTGACTTCTTCATGAGGCAACCCTGGACTTTTCCATTGACTGGATTGTCTTTTCAGCATTAACCCTTTAACTGCTTAAGACGTGTATAAACGTTTTCAGAGTTTCCTTTAAAAATGCTTTAGACGTGTTTACACGAATTTCAAATCGCTCGAAAAATGTTTAAGACGTGTATACACGAAGCCCAAATTTCGCCAAAATTGCTTAAGCCGTGTTTAGACGATGCAATCTGGTCTTCTTTCCCCTACCTTTCTGCAGGCGGCTGTCAGTTGACACAAAGCTCTTAATAGGGTGTGAAGTCTGTTTGAAAAGAACACTTTACGGAAGAGTTCTGAGAGGGAAGTATCCCTGTCAGATAGCAGGTTGTGTGTTATCTTTCTGACGACTGCAAGCTTGTAAATGAAGATAAATCATTTTACAACAGTTTCCCTTGTGATTACTTATACAAATGAAAGTCTAACAGAATTGCTCATTGTTACAGTACATTACCGAAATTTAGAAGAAACGGAAAAATAATAATTGTAATGCAAGAATAATAACTGTAAGAAAATAATAATTGTAACTTTTTAATAAATCATATATTATACAATTAAATATTTTATTTTTGTATTAAAAGTTGATTAAAATTTCTGATTCATCAAGAAAAGGAAAAAAAATATATAATGCTGCAAACATCTATTTTGTTTGCCCTCGTATTTCAGGTGCCAGTGTTTTTAATGGTATATCCTTCCTTTTTACACTTTGAAATATGAAAACTGTGCTTTCAGCATGCCTGATTTGTGGCTGTGTGCTCCTTATAAAAGCGAACTGACATATAAAAATTTCTTGGATGTCAAAAGTAAGATATTCTACTCGAAAACTTCAATTAAACCGAATAAATTCATATGCCGAAGGAATTTCTAGAAATATTTGTTTTTAAAAATATTATTATTAAGATTTGAAATACAAATTAGTTTTTAAATCTAGGAGGAAAAATATGCATTTCTTGGAACTTTTTTGGAAAGAAATCTACCGGTATAAAATTGCTTAAAATTAATGGAGTGTAAGTTAATGTATGGAAGGTATATAATGCACACAAAAATTGGTCAGAAGAATAATTAGCTAACAAATTAAATTAATTACATTAAAAGAATTTCGTTAGAAAATAACCTCTCCAAATGCCAATGCTAGCAGCATTATAAATGAAAGTTATTAAATTCCTAACTTAATTAATCAATAATTGTGGCCTACCAGCGGCCGATCAATTTGGTAATTCGGTCTGAGGCTCGAATCCTCGAACAGGCTGGCTGCAAGGGCGTTTTCGTGATTTTCCCCACGTGTAACGTGTATACGAGCCAGTATCCCTTAGAAAGTCTTCCACAAAAGCATCCCTCCTTTTAGGCAGATAGCCCTCGAGGCTTTGCCGTAATCACATAAAACCAAACCAAATTAAAAACCAATAACTATGTGTTCGCAATTACTTTGCAAAGATTTTTTATAAAGATACAACAAAAGTCCGCAGCAACCTAGTAGAAACTGGCACTTTAAAGTGAGTTTAAATCCTGGCGAATGGGCTGGCTACATGGCAGTTTGCATGGATTTTTGCTGCCTATATTTAATGTGAACATAAGCCAATCTCATTTAAAAAGTCCTTCACGAAGACATGCTCTGAATACTAGTCCTCGCATGGGAATACGTTTGGATTGTTAGATTAATGACAAAGCTCGCAAAGGGCGATCTGTCTAAAGAGGATATGCTTTCGTGAAAGACTTTCTAAGGGAAACTATCTCGTACCGGTGTTACATATAGGTAAATTCACGAAAATGGAGATGTGGTGAGCCAATTCACAGGGGTCTGAATCGAGGTCAAACAACCAAATAGTCCTCGTGTATTTTCTCATGAGCTAAATAAAATAAAATACAATATCGCGAAAATCACTTTATGCTATTAAAATGGCAATAACTTCGTATTATACAGGCTATCATTTTGCGTCTGTTATGAGATTTTAATCTTTTCTGTTATCCAAGCTAGCCCACAATGGAATACTGGTAGTTCTATCCGGGTTTCGAAGCCCGGCGAAAGGGCTAGCTACATGGATGCTTTCGTGTCTTTCTCATGTGTAACGTGTACACAAGCCGGTTCCCCTTAGAAAGTCCTCCACAAAGGCATTCTTCCCCTTATGTACATAACCCTCAAGTGCTTTGCCATAATCATTGCTGGGAATGTCTGTCAGAGCAGCGTGAAATTTAAATTAGCTTACTTTTTTTTCCCTATATTGAAAACAACTTAATTTTTTTTTAAATCTTGCTGTCAGACCGAAAGTATTTAGAAGTATAAAACTGGTCTCTTTGAACACATTTCTGTGGTATTTCTTTACGGACGTAGATCAACTGATAACAGTCCAACCCTTGATGTAGGCATTGACAGATTTCACCACCAAAAGGCCTTTTCTCTAACATAGTGGAGGCCACTTTTATCTTCTGCTTTGTAATACAGTATAACTAAATCGGCTGGCCCTGTTTGCCCGAATAGCTTCTGAGAACCGTTCGCATTTGAATGCGTCGGAGCTTGAGTGACTGAAAGACTACTTGTTCCCAAAGCAATCAGTCAGACAATAAAATTTGTTAATATTTCTACTCTCTCTGTAAGTTCTTCAAATCCAGGAAAGGGTAATGCGTGCATTTGGGTGCATGTGAGAAAAAAAAAATTTCTATGCTGCATTTTGTATTACTTGTATAGTGAAACATTTCAAAAAACAGCTTTATATGCAAAATTTTTCTCTGATGAATGAACTCAGCTGAAAACATGTTTCTATCTTCTGTACATCCGCCCCCCCCCCAAAAAAAAGATGCTCTTTTAAGTGAATTAAATTTTTATTGTCCTCTTATTACATTTTTCTAAATTTTTCTATTCCCCTTTTCTTATAACACATAAGCAATTTTTTAAATATGAGTGACCCCTGAGCGCTAAGATCGGTGAGCTTGCTAAAGACTGGTAATTTGAAGGAATTCAAATCTTGGCAAAGGGGTTTACTGCAGGGGAGGTTTCTTGGTTTTCCCTCATGTGAAACTAATACAAATTCTTTTCCTTTAAACATCCTTTACGAGAGGCAACTCCTTTTAGGCATATAATCTTCAAGTTCTGTGAACAATTCTAATCTAAATTTTTATAATATAAAATTTCATAAAAATTTATTCTACTGCCGCTTTTGTGTACATTATATTTATGACGATTCTACTGCCGCTTTTGTGTACATTATATTTATGATTATTTCTACGATTATGGTGTTATGTTTAATACTGAAAATAATGTTTAAGCTAAAAACCAATTTGAACCCTTTTTAATAATAAGGTAACATGCGCTAAATGGTTTTGAATAGAAAGAAACCAAGGATGCTAACTCCATACATCAAACAGAAAATTTATTATCGTCAACTCATTTCGTCTAGGATGAAAGGTTTCTAAGCTTACGATTTTTGATTATGGTTAAGCAGGCAGGGGTTACTTGCCTAAAAGAAGAGACTTTTTGAGGGAAAGAGGCTGGTAATTAGTGATACACACCCGTGCAGCTGCTAGGATTTACCATGCTCAACTATCTTACCGCTCGTGCTCTATTGGGCTTTCAGCTTACAAAATATGTATTTTAAGTTGGTTATTTACATAACAGAAGAACAAAATAAAATGACAGATTATAAATAGTGCATTTTACTGACAAAAATTTCTTTGGAAAAAAAAGAAAAAAGTACTGTAAAGAATAAGAACGATATAGTTAACGGCAGCCGATAAGCAGTGCTGGTGCATATGTTTTTGCGGAGAAAATCATTTTGCTTGTGTTGTCGTATAACGAAAAATATTCATAAATTATTTTTTACAGTTGCTAAAATAATCCTGGACTATCTGTTTTAAGATAATACCTTCTTGAAAAATTTTTCAAAATGAAATTGGCTTGGATTAATATGGGAAAAAGTATAAAGACACCAAGCCGCTAACTTGTTTGGTTGATAGGGACAAATCCAGAACAAGCATCAACATCCAGTACTCTTATTCAATATAGTGAACTTAAATATTTGTTTGTATAATTATTATTAGTATTAAAACAAAAATATTTATTATAATAAAGACTGTAGTTTTATAACACACCCTTGTAAGGCATTTTCTTTGGTTAGGGACTACATGTGAATAATCAACTCTGCGTTGAAGCAAGACAATTTTTTAAGACTTAATGCTTCAAACAATTGAATGCTGGGATTCCTAGGGAAGAAAATATCCTCAAAAATATATTCCACAAAAAATATTGAATTATATTCTTATAATGACTTATTAAATAATTAATAATTGTTATAATTTTTTAAATATAATGCTTACTTATTTTTTTACAAAATGTACAATAATACCCTTTATTTACAAAAATACCATACTTGAACAACTA